AGACAGCTGGCGGTTCAAACCCACCAGCCACTCCTCGGAAGGAAGGTTGGGCAATCCTACTTCTGTAGTGATACTGCCTCGGAAACCCAAGGAGGGGTCGCTATGATGATGGTTAATAATAATAGTTGTTTTAAAACAGACAAATATAAGCAAACTAATCATCAGAAAAAAGAAAGTGAAAAAATAAAATAAAATAAAAATAAAAAAAGAGAAAAAAAATTGGTGGAGGACAGGGCAGGGCACCCAGGTTCCATCTGAGCACACAGACTGTGATGGAGTTCCTGTGGACCCAGAAGGTAGGTGAGAGTGGAGGATGGCCACACCTCCGTTCACGAAGGTGTAGGGTATAAGCGTAACAAGAGGAATGTCGTACCTTTTCAGTCTTGCAGGTCCGGAGTGTCCTTGGGGTTGCTGGAAAGCAGAACGTGTTCTTAAGCCCCAGGCATCTGCGAGGGCACTGTCTCTTTAAATATCCAAAACAGTCAAGCCGCTTTTAAACATTCAAAATAGTGGTGCCCTGCAGACCAGCAGAAGTCCACAGCTCAGCCTGCCTTTCTCTTCACCTTCTCCGTTTATTCCCCAGGTACCAGAGCAGTCTTCCGTGCAGTCCCTGGCTAGCAGGGCTGATTTTTAGGTTAATTCTTAGGTCCTACCACCACTCGGGAATCTCCAAGCTGTCTGTGCTGTGCCGTCAGGATTGCTCAGGATTGCTGCCAGACTGCAGCTCCGTCTGTCTCCTTTTTTGGTATTTTCATGCAAATTCTTCTGATAGTTGGGGTTTATTCCACTTCTATATCCTTCCCTTCAAGGCTCAGGGGTCCAGAATTATCTTCTGTGTCTGTGTTAATTGGTTTGCCTTTTCTTTGTTGGAGAGGGTCTGTGCAGTCTTTCTGCCTAGTCTGCCATCTTACCAGAACTCTCTCTATTGCTTTACATTCTATTTCTGGCATTGAAAAATGCGCAAGGGTTTATGGTTAGTAGGTTAAGAATCGCCTGCCAGAGCTATAAGTAATGGTATAGTATACAGATCTGATCATGAGGATGGCTTTTTCAAAATGCTGCTCTTATTTCCATGTGTGTATAATTATTTGGCTTATAGTACAGTTCCTTAAAGGGAAAATGAAAAACTCTGAGATTCTGCATAGTATAAAGTAAGAGAAGATACATCTCTATTAGCGTCGTCATACATCTTAGCTGCCTTTCACACATACACCTGCTTTAGGCTTTTGTTTCTGCTTCTAGGTCTAGATAGACAAGTTGTTCAATTTTTTCAACCTAATTCATAAATGTCATAACAAAGAAATCATGCCACTTGCCTTAACACCTTAATCTTTAAATTAAAGTAAACAGCACAAGCACATTGAACATTGTAGAGACGGGGAGGTCTCTTGGTCCAGGCATTTTGAAGCTGTTGAAGAGTAGTATATATAGTTAATTTGTGCCAAGAAAATTTTGTGGTTAAACTATAACCTCAGTTTAAAAAATTATTGGGGATATGGGATATCAAGTGTTTCTCAAGTTTGCTTTTAACAAAATTCTTCTCAGTGTCTTGCTAAATGTTAACCAGAAATCACATTGACTCATTGATGGAGTTTCTGCTCTTTTCTCTTTACTTTCTTCTGCTTCCTGAGAAGGCCAAAGTAGAGAGCTAACATTCACCAAGCCTTTCAGTTTTGTGGTACCGTTCCTAAGAGAGCTGGTGTATGTGTGTGTGTAATCTTATTTAATCCCACATAACTCTGCAAAGAAAGATTTGTTCTCCTCACTTCCCCGAAGAGATGATAAGAAAATAGACTTGCCAAAAACTGCACAGAGAACTGTTAGAATCAAAATTTGAATCAGGTCCTCTAGATGTTTTACATTAAACCAGGAATTGATTTTGGGATTATACTGTGAGGTTATAAATCAACAGGTATCGATAACTCACAGCCCAAATAATGGCTTCTAAATACAAACCAAACCAGTAAGACTTGTCTCAAACATTCTATTTAAATTCAGGTAAGATATAACATGTATCGGAGAGAGTGGGAGAAAAATGTGGAACCAAACTCAAAATCATAAAAATGACCCGTCTTCCTGGTCTGATAGCTAGACTGGTGAAACTCCCAAGGCTATGGCCCTTAGTCACCCTTTAGGCCTGGAATTGAACTCACTGCCATGGCTTAACTCACATCCAAACAATAGACAGGCCTATGAGCTGAACAGCTATACCAGGGAGATGCCCTCCTTAGGAAAATCAACCATGGGAGATCAGAAAGGCAACGTTTGCATAGGGAGAAATGAAATGCAGGGAAACAGGAATACATTCGCAAAAGGACACAGGGAAAGGGGTAACCACAGGGAGGAAGTGGGAGGAGAGCTGTTAATGCTGCAGGGAATGTAACCAGTGTCACAAAAGAAAATGTGTATGAATTGTTGAATGTAAAACAAATCCGATTTGCAAAATTTCACCCAAATCACAAGATAAAGTTTTTTAAAAAAAGAGATATAATATATGGAAGGAGCTCTGTTGGTGCAGTGGATAAAGTGCTCATCTGCTAACCAAAAGGTCATTGGTTCGAACCCACCAGCTGCTCCACAGGAGAAAGATGAGGCAGTCTGTTTCCCTAAAGATGTATGGCCTTGGAAACACTACGGGACTGTTCTACTCTGTCCAATAGGGTTGCTATGAGTCGACTTGATAGTGTTGGGTTCTGACAATATACGGCTTCTAGACACTCAACATAGAATTGAGTTTATACTAGTTTAAGATTTGGTTTCATTGTAGGATATACAGATTTTGAGGTACTGAAAATAATTGTTTATTGTTATTCTCATCAAGATGTATATTATGTCTGGTTGGGATGATAAATATATTATCATCTCTTGAGGAAACCATAGTCCTAAAGTGAGGAAAAGAGAGAAGTAAGGACTTAGTGGTAGGTAGGAAAACCTTGATGGTACGTTTTACCTAGCTCTTGTATGTTGTCTTCAAAAATAGTTTACACAATAAAATTCCTTTGAACTCAGATTTTACTTAGACTTTTTGCCCTTTCTGTTTTATTTATTTATTTTTTCCTCACTCTTTCTCTTAATTATATGCTGATTGAACACAGTCTTCTTGCCAACAGTACCAAGAATTATACACAAACACTAAATCCTATGTGGTTGGGATAAGGGTAGGCTTTGTAACAATCATATCAGAAGATTTAATGTTATGAGGAAATGATCTAATTCACATTAATGTGGGGCTACATCTTCATCTAGGACCTCTGGTAGTGTAGTGCCTGGGGTATTTGACAGCTAAACAGAAGGCTGACAGTTCAAACCCACCAGCCACTCCTCGGAAGAAAGGTTGGGCAATCTACTTCCGTAGGGATACCACCTTGGAAACTCAACGAGGGGTTGCTATGAGTTGGGTCTGACTTGATGGCAAATAATAACAACAACAGCTTCATCTTACTACTGTTCTAAGGCCAATTCAGTGAAGGTCTTACTTGTCTATAAATTTTTATTTTTTAACTTAAAAGGTAAAATAATATGAATATAATTTCTATTTTAAATTATTCATCCTTTGCTTTTTTGTAAATTTTATGAATACTACAATGTAGAGAGCAAAATGTAGCATCAATTAACAGCCACAACAGCATTGCCATCAATTTCTTGTTTAAGATAGGCTATCAGTCAGCATGTGGTTTGTTAACAGCAGTCAACATTTTGAAAAACATTTGGAGAAAAAAAAATTCACTTCACATAGAAGCTGTGATTTAGTTGCTTTCTGGGACTTTTTTTTTCAAATACATTTTATTGAAATATAATTTGAGTACAATGACATACACAAAACTAAAATGACATGGGTTGATGCATTTTTTCCTTTTTTTTTTTTTTGGCAGTGTTCCCTCCTCTCCCCTCCCACCTCTGGTAATCAACAAAGAAAGTTTCGTTCTGTATATAAACCTTTCCTCGATTTTTTACAATAATGAACTAATACTATATTTGTCCTTCTGTGATTGGTTTATTTCACTCAGCATAATGTCCTCCAAGTTCATCCATGTTATGTGGTGTTTTGCAGATTCTACATTATTCTTTAGTGTTGCATAGTACTCCCTTGTGTGTATGTACCATAGTTTGATTATCCATTCTTCTGTTGATGGGCACCTAGGTTGTTTCCATCTTTTGGCTATTGTAAATAGTACTGCAATGAACATGGGTGTGCATATATCTGTTCTTGTCCTGGCTCTCACTTCTTTAGGATATATACGTAGTAATGGGATTGCTGGGTCAAATGGCACTTCTAATTCCAGCTTTTGAAGGAATCACCATATTGCTTTCCACAGTGGTTGTATCATTTTACAGTCCCACCACATCCTCGCCAGCATTTGTTATTTTCTGTCTTGTTGAACTTTTCTCTGCATTTTATAGGATAGAAGTTTTCTTCTTTGTTTCTCTTACATATAAGATCTTTGAGGGCAGGGACTGTATATTGTTTGGCATTGTATTCCCTACATATACCATGGTGTCTGACCCTGGACAGGTGCTATTGTTGTTGAAAGCTGTTCCTTTTTTTTTTTTTTTTTTTAAATTAAGGTAATATTTTAAATTGTATTATGAGATTCAGTTGGTAACTTTTCCTCACGTGTGCTACTTACACTTAGCAGAACACTTCTACAGTTCTTGAAATGCTGTGAAAAGCCATAAAAAATCATCCATGACTTCAACCTTTGTTCTTCATTTAAGATGACCACTGGTGCAAAGGCTAAATGCTTGGTTGCTATTTTGATTAGCAAAATAACATGTAATATTTGATTTTTATTAGTTTGGCAGTTCAAACCCACTCACCGGCTCTGCAGGGGAAAGACCTGGAGATCTGTTTCCATGATGATTACAGCCTAGGACACCCTGTAGGGCAGTTCCACACTGTTACGTTAGTTTACCATGAGTTAGAATTGTACCTGACAACAATACTAAATAAGAAGGGAAGTATTGAGGAAATCTAATTTAATTTCCATTTTCTTTTGCAGAGCAGTATACAAAGATGCTGATTTGTACTTATTAGACTCGCCCTTTGGATATCTAGATGTTTTAACAGAAAAAGAAGTTTTTGAAAGGTATGTTCTTTGAATATCTTTCTTATAATGCTCATGCTAAAGACAACAGTGATCTGTGCTGTCATAGACTGCATATTCTTCCTGAGAAATAATGTCCATCACTGCCATGACTCAGTAGGGTAGAATGCAACATGTTGCTGTTTTTTTGCTGTCGAGTTGGACCCGACCCATAGTGACCCCTCTTTGGGTTTCCAAGGTGGTTTCACTACGGAAGTAGATGGCCCAACCTTCCTTCCAAGGAATGGTTGGTGGGTTTGAACCGCCAGCCTTCTGGTTAGCAATCAAGTGCCTTAGGCACTAAGCTACCCACTTATTTAATCTGATCTTTCCTTCATGAATCAGATTCAAAATCCATTAAAGCCTTTTCTGGCCACCTTGTGCTCAAGATTCTCTTCCACCTCTGAGCTATTAGAGTGATTACTATCTATATACTTTTTATGTTAGTGTTCCTTTGTAGCATATCTTTTATTATTTTTTATTGATTATTATATCTGAATTTTTTATTGACTCTTTTGTGTGTGTATATTAGTGTTTTACTGTATATCTTCCTTAGTAAATAAACTTCTTAAGGAACTGCACATGCTGAAAGCATTGATTAGATGAAGGCTCAGGCTATTCCCCTCCCTCAATATCTCCGTCCAAGCCCCCTCCTTGATCCCACAGAGCTCAGCCTTGACATTTCACTGGAGTTCTCATGTGGCCTAATGTATGTGAAGTTCCTCAGAAAAAGAGTTAAGTTATATGGCTCGATTTCAAAGTGTCAAAGTGATTTCTATAAAGTAGTTTATAAAGAAAATAGTCATTATATTCTTTTAAAAATAAAAATTTTAACTAATAAGGATGGGTAGTATGTGTGTGTGTATACAATGTTTGCATTATTACTAGAAGAACTTTTAATATAAATTAGTTAAATTCAATACTTAATACTCTTTTTATAATACTGGGACAGGGTAATTGACTGCTGACCAATATAAACTATGCTAGCTGTGGTTGTATGCTAGATTGTGATGTAGAATGATGCCTCTTTCTATACATATGTACACAATACGTAGTGTCATATGCAAAATATGCAGTGTATATATAACCTGTTGCTGTTGAGTTGATTCTGACCCATAGCAACCCTATAGGACAAAGTGGAACTGCCCCATAGGGTTTCCAAGGCTGTAATCTTTACAGAAGCAAATAGCCACATTTTTCTCCCATAGAGTGGCTGGTAGATTCAAACTCTGACCTTTTGGTTACCAGCCAAGCATTTTAACCATTGCACCACCAGAACTCCTTAATGTGTGTGTGTGTGTGTGTGTGTGTGTGTGTTTATATAATGGCTTAATGCCTAAAAGAAATTATTCTATCTTAGATGGTTTTAGTCAGAATTTACTTCTTGACTGAGGGTAATTTTATCAGAGGAGGATCAGGTTTATCCAATTTTCAGTTTTTTTTTTAAATTTTTATAAAAACAAATCAAATTGTCTTAATATATGCTCTTGAGTACTAAATCAGTTGTTGTTGTTGTTATGTGCCATCGAGTCGGCCCCAACTCATAGTGACCCCTCCTTGGGTTTCCGAGACAGTATCACTATGGAGGTAGATTGCCGAACCTTCAGTAGTAAACTTAAAATGTCAAAGGAAATTAATAGAAATTTTAAGGAACAAGAAAATTCTGAATTTTAGAAGCCACACAGAAATACAGACTTCTAAGGATCTTAAGTCTTCAAACAGATCCCTCATTTCCTGGATGAATAAACGGAGGTCCAGAAGGTAAACGTTTTGCTCAAAGTCAAACATCTACTTAACATACTCATTGTCATTGAGTCTGTTGCAATACATAGTGACCCTATAGGACAGAGTAGAATTGCCACATAAGGTTTAGAAACTGTGTAATGTGTTTGGAAGCAGACTACCACATCTTTTTCTTGCAGATCAGCTGTTGGGTTTGAATCTCCAACCATTCAGTTAACAATTGAGTGCTTAACCACTGCATCACTGGTGCTTCTTTTATTTAATACAAGAAATTTAATCTCACTTTTTTTCTCTTGGGAGCTCTGGTGGCATAGTGCCTAAGGCATTTGACTGCTAACCAGAAGGCTGGCGGTTCAAACCCACCAGCCACTCCTCGGAAGGAAGATGGGGCAATCTACCTCCATAGAGATACTGCCTCAGAAACCCAAGGAGGGTCACTAAGAGTTGGGACCAACTTGGCGGCAGTGAGTTTTGTTTTTTTGGTTTTTAGTTCTCTTGCCACCCAGCTTTACAATATAGCATGCTGTTTCATGCTATAATAATTTAAGAGACTCCAAATATCAATACAGAGCATTTATTTTTAGAATCATTTTAAGAATAATAAAATTGTACAGTAGAGGTTTTATATGATAATACATTAATAAAATGCCAAAAGATGCATCTTATTGCAATAGGTTCTATAAAATACACTCCTTATTAATATCTTTTGTATTCTTAAAGCTGTGTCTGTAAATTGATGGCGAACAAAACTAGGATTTTGGTCACTTCTAAAATGGAACATTTAAAGAAAGCTGACAAAATATTAATTTTACATGAAGGTAGCAGCTATTTTTATGGCACATTTTCTGAACTACAAAATCTACGGCCAGACTTCAGCTCAAAGCTCATGGGATTTGATTCTTTCGACCAGTTTAGTGCAGAAAGGAGAAATTCAATCCTAACAGAGACCTTACGACGCTTCTCATTAGAAGGAGATACTGCTGTTTCCTGGAATGAAACAAAAAAGCAATCTTTTAGACAGTCTGGAGAGTTTGGTGAAAAGAGGAAGAACTCTATTCTCAATTCGATCAGCTCCATACGAAAATTTTCAATAATACAGAAGACTCCAGTACAAATGAACGGCATCGATGAGGATTCCAGTGAGCCTTTGGAGAGAAGGCTGTCCTTAGTTCCAGATTCTGAGCAAGGAGAGGCCATCCTACCTCGAAGTAACATAATCAACACAGGGCCCACATTTCAGAGACAACGAAGACAGTCGGTTTTGAACCTGATGACACGCTCCTCAGTCAACCAAGGTCAAAGCATTCACCGGAAAACAACAGCATCCACACGAAAAATGTCATTGGCCCCTCAGACGAACTTAACTGAAATTGATATATATTCAAGAAGATTATCTCAAGGAAGTGGCTTGGAAATAAGTGAAGAAATTAATGAAGAAGATTTAAAGGTATGTATAAAATATTAAAGGTATGTATGAATGTGGGGTATTGGTACTTCAGTGTGAGAATTCTCACCTTATATGCAGGAGACCTGGGTCCAATTCCTCCCAATGTACCTACCGCACAGCCACACCCACTGTCAGGTGGGGGCGCGTGTGTTACTGTGATGCTGATTCTAAACTAAACTTCTTCTAAACTTCTATGGTTGAGAAGTGGAGCTTCTAAACCAAGACAGGGTAGGGAGAAAGGCCTGGTGATCTACTTCTGAAAAACCGGCCGATGCAAACCCTGTGGATCACAACGAGCCAATATCACTGTGCATGGAGATGCTATGAGCTGACTCCATGGCAGCTAACACCAACGTAAAACATCAGTTATTTCCAGTATATAATGAAGTATAATGCAATATTTAGTGTGTGAGAAAGTTTACTCTGACTTTAGGGTGAGGTTTATTTCAAGACTTGGAAATTTCAAAATCCATAAACTATGTAAGGCACTTCAAAATGTGAAATAACCAACTATTTTCAATTACAGTGGATGTTATCTATTTCCACAAAATGTGTTGTTAACACAAAGTGAAGGCTTAGTGCCTTCTCTTTTATAGGCCAGTGAAAGTCATTATAAAATCAGAAAGTTTGTAACCACTATAACCTCCTTAAGCCTTCTCTGGGAAGAGGTAGAATATAAATAAATACTAGTAGCTTCAGTTATTTAGATAGCAAGACATATTTCTGTATGGAGGTAGCTATGTTGGGTTTCTAAATAAGACTTTTAAAAAGAAGATATGTGAAAATTTAACATATGCTGCACCCACTCCTCATTTATTGACATGGTTCAGGTCCAAAGGCCTTGTTGTTATGGGAAAATCAGCATTATGTGAAAATGGGAAATGGCACAGCCAATCACAAAATGGAGGGTGAGTACATTATTACATAAGTGAAAAATTACATCACTCCTTAACTGCCAAATGACATAATCACATAACTGCCAAATTTCATCATTGTGTAACTGCCATACCACTGAGAATGAAGGCCCAGGCATGTTGACACATAACCTCAACCATCACAGCCAGTGCTACTTTCACCTCACACCTTAGTGTTTGTAACTGCCAGATGTACCTCCTTAATGGGAAAAAGAGTCAGAAAGATTTTTTTCACTATTGTAAATGCAAAATGTTGAATATCGTGATAGTTGATAACTGAGGAGTAGGTATAGTTCCAAACTTCAGACAGACAGTCTGTTATATTATTTTAAAGAATAAAATGTTTTTATATTTAAAATAGGGAGCAATATAAAAGAGGTCTTCTTTAAATTTTTTTTTTTTTTAATCTAGAAAAATTCCTTAAGAGTCTAGGATAAGCTGAACTATGGGCAAATTTGTGATGAACTGGCATGTTTGATAGGATGGTTCATTAAAAAATAATGTGGCCTGAGAGACCAGAGACTAGTGTAGTCAAAAGCTGCTCTCCATCTCTCCCTCAGGAACCCCACCCCTCTCCTTTCTCTTTAATAAACTTTGATTCATGTGGAAAAAAAAGAATAAGGTGGCCTATGGGAATGAACTAGTCATTGAACACCTCTAGGCTAAAGTTTCCTCCTTTGTAATATAAAGAAACAAAATAGATGGTCTCTAAGATACGTACTTTCAGTATTTCTATAATTTTAATAAGTTTCCTCAAGGATAATTCATCTCCATGTTTAATGTCAACCTCAGTGAATTTCTCAAACTTGAGCTGAAGGATTTAGTTGCAAAGAATGATATCTTTCACTAATGTTGTTGTTGTTGTTTGCCATCAAGTTAGACCCGACTCATAGTGACCCCTCCTTGGGTTTCTGAGGCAGTAGGAGCTCTGGTAGCATAGTGGCTAAAGCACTTGACTGCTAACCAGAAGGCTGGCGGTTCAAACCCACCAGCCACTCCTCGGAAGGAAGGTTGGGCAATCCTACTTCCGTAGTGATACTGCCTCAGAAACCCAAGGAGGGGTCGCTATGAGTCGGGGCCGACTCAACGGCAAACAACAACAACAACATCACAAAAGTAGATTGCTCAACCTTCCTTTCGAGGAGTGGCTCGTGTGTTTGAACCGCTAGCCTTCTGGTTAGCAGTCAAGTGCCTTAGGCACTATACTACCAGAGCTCCCAGCTTTCACTATTAGTTGATATTTATTGAATGCTTCTAGTGCCAGATAGGATACACTAGTCCCACTACTGGGAGCTCCTCATGATACACAAAACTATTATTTCCCTTTGTATTATCTTGAATCTCTCTTTTAAAAATTTTTGAAATGCATGAACTGAAAGACAAAGATCTCTAGGGAGTATACCCAAGATTAGAATTATGTAACCAAAGTCATAACTAGAAAGAGAGATAGTCCTAGACTGGTGTGAGAAAACTACAGTGGCAAGCTGGGCTTCAGATCTACAGGCAAACTTCTATAACTAATAAAATACCAAACTGAACTTGTTCATGGACTGCTGAAAAAACATGTTAAAGCAAAGAGGATTCTGAGAAACTTCTGTTTGATGGTGCCATTCATTTGATAAAAGCTGCAATGCTGGTAGGCATTTGAATGGCAAATGTTTCTGCAATATTATCGTTACACAATCAGTGCTTTCATTTCAGAAGTTTGAATAATTACTACATTCTTAATTTTTCAAAAAGCCATGTTACTCTAGTTACCTTGGCTATGGCGTGACATCACACATTTCTTTCATGACTGGTATTTGTTATAATTCACTTACCTTCAAATGCTGGTGTTCTTTTATTTCCACAAATTCAAAATGAAACCATGGTGGTGGTATGAAGCTATCACCTCATTGTAACAGCTGTGATTCTTGTTTTCAGGAGTGCTTTTTTGATGACATGGAGAGCATACCACCAGTGACCACGTGGAACACATACCTTCGATATCTTACTGTCCACAAGAGCTTAATTTTTGTGCTAATTTGGTGTTTAGTTATTTTTCTGGCTCAGGTAAGAATGTTCTGTTGTAAAATATTTGTGTGGTTTAAAGTTAAATTAAGAATAGTTTAGAAATATATTTATATATACACACAAAATATGTATATACCTATATCTCTCTCTCTCTCTCTCTTTCTATATATATAGTTTAAAGATGTGACCAGTTTGAATGAATAAATGTATTATAATTCTGTATAGTTCTTAAATTCTCTAATACAACAAGTAGAATTGCTGCTGGTATTTCATTATTTTATACATAGCATAAAAAATATGCTCAAACACAAATATATAATGAGTTTTTTATAGAGGGCTTTGAAAGCACAAAGTGTCAGGCCCATATATGAATTGAGAATATTTTTGAATGAAAGCTTTAATTTATTCAGCTCTAGAGACTGCCTTCTTAAATAGTCAGGTGAAGATATACCACTTTTAAATGACTGTTCCTTCACAGAATGGAATACATATGTATCAGTAGCTTAGTAAGCATTTAAAAAAGTCTTCCAGAGATTCAAATCATCTACTTGCTGGCAGAATTTTTTTTTGCTTCAGTGTTACCATCATGCCTTGCCACTCCCCTGCTAAACTTCACATCATCGGGAATAATAAAAGGAGAGGGATTAACAAAAGGAGAGAGAGAGACAAATAACACAGTAGGCCACAGTTTGGTTCCTGAAGCTGAGTGCTAGATGAGGCTTTGTGTTGGACCAGAAATAGCCATGTAAATGTCGAAAGGGGCCAAGTGGGGCAGGTCAGTGTGTGAAGTGGGTATCAGGCTGGTTGGACAGCACTTTCCCTCTCTTAAGGGGGCAACTGCAACTCAGGACTGACCAGTACTTGCCACAGGGAATTTGGGATCAATTGTGTCAAATCTTCTGATTTACCAAAATAAGCCAGAAATCCAGATTTTTCTGTGTTTTTTTTCCCCCCATTTTTAAATCAGATGGTTGATTCAATAAAAACAAATTCTACATTAGCACAACAAAACACATCAGTGGATTAGATTCTGCCTGGGTCACCATGCTAGATACTTACTCCAGTGGACACTCTGGATGGATGCCAATATGAAACCTAAATCCAACAAGAAGACCAGTCAGGCTGGAGGAAGCGAGTGGGGCAGGAGTGGAAAAACATGAAACCCAGGAGCAGGAGGACTTTGTGCCTTTTCCTTGCCTCTGCGTTAGTCCTCAGCTTTGACTATAACTTATGGTTCATTGTTAGCCGCCATCAAGTTCCAAGGTCACCTGGTCCTGTGCCCTCCTCATGGTCATTGGTATGTCTGAGTCCATTGTTGTGGTTATTGTATCAGTCTGTCTCTTTGAGGGCTTCCCTTATTTTTGCTGACCCTCTACTTTATCAAACATGATGTCCTTTTTTAATGATTGGGCTTTTCTGATGTGATCAAAGTAAGCAGTCAGTCTTCCCATCTTCACTTCTAAGAAGCATTCTGGTTGTTTTTCTTTGAAGATTGATCTTTTTATTCTTTTGGTAGTCCAAGGTACATTCAATATTCTTCACTAACACCGTGGTAAAATTTATGGTTTAGGTATCTTTATCTCCCTGGTTGGGAAGCTACCAAAAACCTAACCAAATCGAGTCAGATCCGACTCATAGCGACTCCTCCTTCGGTTTCCAAGGCAGTATCACTACAGAAGTAGATTGTCCTACCTTCCTTCCGAGGAGTGGATGGTGGGTTTGACCCGCCAGCCTTCTGGTTAGTAGTCAAGTGCCTTAGGCACTATGCCACCAGAGCTACAAGAGGGCAGAAATTTCCTCCCTTTCTTTCTCTCTTCTTCCCTTTTCCCCTTCCGCCTTCCTTTCCTTTGTTTTTGACACCCCTAGCAAAGAGCCTGGAGCTAAATTGTGTCTCAATAAATGTTTATAGAATAATTCTTTTAAAAAATGCTTGTATACATGCATGCATAAATGACTGAAGTTTACTATTCTCCAGTTGATTACATATGGTCAGTTCAAGCTTCTCTGTTCCTTCATTGGGCTGGAGCAAAATTACTCTTGTAGTGAAATATTTAACTACTTAACTACTTTTTCAATATTTGTAGTGATTAGAATTTATTTGATTCATTCTTCATTATTAAAATTCTTCTGATATGACCTCTTGCTATAGTTTCCTTCTTGCTTGCAACGTTGGCTACAATTTAGAAAAAGTTAAATTCAAATATGTTTGAAGTTTAGTGATAGATCTGAATTCTGAATCCAGGTTCAATTTTCATGTTTTGCTCATAATTTACTATTCAGAATTAGATAATATTCTAATATTTATCATTAAATATAATATTCTTATATTTACCAACTAAGGACTTTTTGATATTTATACATTATATTTTCTTTATCATCATGGTTTTATTTTTATTTTTTAACTATAAAGGATTTGAGAGCATATAGCCATCTCTCTCATAAACACATGTGCATTTGCACAGAGGCCAACAGTTCCATAGACACAGCATCATTTTGTTTCACATTCATATTTTACAGGAAAATATTGCTTTTTCAAATTGTCTGCCTCTCCATTTAAATACAGTCACATTTCAAAAATCATTGTATTATCTATCATCTCCCTTTCACAAATAATCTGAGATTCAAATGATCATAATACTAACTGGGCAGATATAGAGGAGTTGAAATTATAATCAAATTTTTGTCCTGGGGATGGAATGCTAATAGCAAGTTGTTGTTGTTGGTAAGTGCTACTGAGTCAGTTACGACTCACTGTGACCCTATGTAACCGAACGAAACACTTCCTGGTCCTGTGCTGTCTTCCCTTGCTTTGTTTGAGTCCATTGTTGCAGCCACTGTGTGAGCCAAAGGTAGACTGTTGTGTCAGTCCATCTCACTGAGGCTCTTCCCATTTTTCACTACTTTGCCAAGCATCATGCCCTTCTCTAGGCACTGGTCTTTCCTGATAATGTGTCCAGAGTATGTGAGTGTCAGCATCCTCCCTTCCAAGAAGCGTTCTGGCTGTACTTCTTCCAAGACAGATTTGTTCATTCTTCTGACAGTCCATGACATTTTCAGTATTCTTTGTTAACACCATAATGCAAATACATCAATTCTTCATTCTTCCTTATTCATTGTCTAGCTTTTGCATGTAGCTAACAGTTTATCAGTGTGTAAATCACTGAAACACAAACTTGTAGGTACACATTTTTCCTGTTGTTAGGCTATTTCTAATCTCAGTTCAGAAGGCTGAACAATGTATGATCCCTGCTCCCTGATCAAGTAAGATAGTGTTATGTAGCTAAAGGTATGTACCAAAAATTATACATACTACTTTACCTATCAGCCATGGGTTTCCATTTGATCTTTAGGTTTTGGTGATAACTCTTTTTTCTCCTGCTGTTTTTTACCAAACCAAATGGTGGTTTGATGTGGGATGCAATCTAGAATCAGACTGACCTAGAGGTGAATTCTTATTCTGTCTTAGCACCATAAAACTGAGCAAGTTACTTAACTTCTGTGAGCCTTAATTTCTTCATCTATAAAATGGAGATTGCAATAATACCAGCTTTGTAAGTCATTTTGTATGTTAAGAGACATCATGTACATAAAGCACTTAATGTAGAGTTTGGCACACAGTGTAGTGCTGATTGGTGTTATTGTTAATGTTTCTAATGTCTTCATTGCTGTTATATAGTTTAGCATAATTTGAGGTGACCAAGGCCTTAACTGTGATATACTAAACGTTTCACTAACTCCTTTTACACTTTAACAAAAATATGAGGTTGAGCACTAGTGGATGGCAGAAGTTACAACTTTTGACACACTCACCTGAGTAATAACTATTGCATTGAAATGTATTTAAAATTTTCCTTATTAATCTCTGCTAGGCATGCCAAATGACCCACATTACTGTGCCTGAAACCCAATCCCACTTAATCTCACACCAGTCCTTTATGGTTATTAATGATTTGAATCTCTCCATTGAAAGGTCATATTGATTGTCTTCAACTCAAAAAATTATGTATGAAAAAACTGCCATATTTGAATGGATGATCATTTATGTTAATTTACATGACCTTTATCTCCTACAGCCCTATAGGGTTGAACTTAGGAACCTTTGAAATGTATTATTAATTAATTAATGAGCATGGAGATGCTGTGCATGTGTATACAATTACTCAACCAAAAAAACCAAACTCACTGCCACTGAGTTGATTCCAATTCATAGTGACCATCACTGGATTTCTGAGGTGGTGATTCTTTACAGAAATAGATTGCCCCATCTTCCTTCCATAGAGTGTCTGGTGGATTTGAACCACCAAACTTCTGATTAGCAGTCAAATGCCTTATCCACTATGCCACTAGAATTCCTTATACCACTACTAGCTCACTTAATTAAGAAGACAGTGGTCCTTTGTCTTGGGACAAGAAATGAATTTAGGAGTGGCATAGTGGCTAAGACCCTTGCCTGCTAACCAGACAGCTGGCGGTTCAAACCCACCAGCCACTCCTCGGAAGGAAAGTTGGGCAATCCTACTTCTGTAGTGATACTGCCTCGGAAACCCAAGGAGGGGTCGTTATGAGTCGGGTTTGACTCGACAGCACATAACAACAACAACAAACAATATGCTTTATAACTACCCATTATTAGTTGAGTTCTCACAATTATTATAAAAAATATCTTTTTAATGGACAAAGTGATAGATAATATACTTTCTGGACAAAAAAAATTATAAATGATGAGCTTTTTGGCCAGTATCTTTTAGACATCACCAATAAAATGGCTCTTGAAATCTTGAGCATTAAAAAATTAGTAATGATAAGCATATATTAGGGAGCTGTGGTAGCGTAGTGCTTAAGGCACTTGACTGCTAACCAGAAGGCTGGTGGTTCAAACCCACCAGCCACTGCTTAGAAGGAAGATGAGGCGATCTACTTCTGTAGTGATACTGCCTCAGAAACCCAAGGAAGCGTCGCTACGAGTCGGGGCTGACTCGACGGCATATAACAACACAACAACAAGAAGCGTATATTAATTGTTTGAATTATGTACACAG